ATGTTCACGCAAAGAAAGAAGGCCTAACTTTTATTCTCGCTGTAGAATTGTTTCCACTGCCGCCATGTCCTGAAGACGCTCTGTGCTTCGTTGTGAAAGCGAAATTACTTTGTTTGGTCTTCCAAAAGAGGACGATATCCGCTTCGTCATGCCTGGAGCTGATCCGTGCTGGTCGCTGAGGAAATACATCAACTTAGTGCTGTGGATCGCCGGATCGGCTTTCACTGTTTTCACCGCTCCTTTGCCGGGACTGCCGTTCTCGACCCCGCCACCTCAGCTCACTCTTGCCCGGATTTAGCTCACGCTAAGCCGGGGCTTTCGCTCACGCTAGGCCGCTGTGTTTTTCGTTGTGAAAGCGAAACTACTTTGTTTGGTCTTCCAAAAGCAATGCAACGCAACGCGTAAAAATACAGTATAAGTCATTATAATCAGTAATTATGTCCCCACTGGATGCAACAAATGCCTCGTTTGTAATGGGTTTTAATGTTTTTGTGTCGTCGCTCCGGCCGGACACGGCATCAACAGTATGTGAGGGGTGTAACATTTCCGTCTCACGCTTGAGGTATTCGGCCAATCACAATGCACTGGATAGCTGGCCAATCACAGCACACCTCGCTTTTTCAGACCGATGAGCTTTGTAAAAATCGACGCGTTTCAAAAAGGCGGGGCATAGAGGAGAAACAATAATGTACAGTATGTGGAAAATAATGTGTTTTTTTTAACTTTAAACAGCATAAACACATTTCATTACACCAAATACACAAAATAATGTTCTTTTTAGCAACATCATATGACCCCTTTAAAGTAGGATATTAGTACATTCATTTCTTACCACTGAAGTGTAGGACCTTCTTTTAATCCGTAAACAAAAACCTCTCACTTAACATCATGTTCTCTTCAGTTAGGCATTTTAAATCCCTCCGGAATCATATTTACTCTCATAAATATATTAATTTCAAGTAATCATTCATTAATGAAATCGATAAACGAGCGAGTCAATCAGCCAGTAAAATGAAAAATGACCGTTAATTTTTTAATTCTGCGAGCGCGCGGCTCTCTGTGAAAGCGACAAGTGATAAAACAAACCCACGAATTTATGATTTCTTATAGCTTAACCCTGGCTTAATATTATAATTTAAATCGCGTTTTGATTGATCTAATTCTGTATTTTAATAAATGCTGCATTAAACGAATTTCAGGGCTCTGTATAGGTCATAACACATTAACATCTGCAACATTTTCATTGGAAACATAGTTTTACAGGGTTATAAAAATAACCTGAGAATAACCATAAGGGAATGTTCTGTATAGTTACTGTTAGGCTATTTTTAAAATAACCACCCTGCAACGGTCTGGGAACGTTATTTTATGGTTGCAAAAAAATAACCTAAAAATAACCACTAGGGAACATTCTCTATAAGTTATTTTTAGGTTATTTTAAAAAATAACCACCCTGCAACATTCTGGGAACATTATTTTATGGTTACAAAAAATATATCCTAAAAAGAACGTTCCCCCAACGTTAGTATTTGGTTCCCAAAAAAATAACCAAACGGGAACCAAAAACTAACGTTAGGGGAACGTTCTGTGTTTGCTGGGTAGGTACTCATGATTAAAATGAGATTGGGTGAAATTGTGTGTGTGTTATGTCCCCTTTAAAAACTTACAAGGTGGTACTACTGATGTATTTTGTTATAGAATAAAACGGGAAAATATAGCAAGCTTGTGGTAACCACAAAACTTATTTCAGGCTTTTAGCCAAAAAGGTTTTCCAGTTTTGGCCTACAAAAAAGCTCAATATATTTTAGTCACATCACTGTCAAAATAAAAGTCCCACTTCTGACATTTATCACCCAAATAGAAAAACTTATCAATCAGTAAGGTAGATTGTGTGTTAGTCTAGTTTATGCTTGAAACTTTGTACTGTGTAAGTAAATGAATAAATTTAGACTTTTCTTGTACATTTTATTTTTAAAATTTTTAATATGTTAGTTAGAAGTTGTGTTGCATTTGAAGCACCGCTCTTACATATCTTACTTACACATATCCAGACAAACATGTTGTGACTTGCGGTTTTTTTTGGCAGCATCTTGTTCCATGACCATGCATTTTTATGATGGTGTCAACTCGAGTTAAAAATAGACCTGCATTCTGTTCTATTCCATTGTGCACTCCATCTAGATGCTTTTGAATGAAAGAATGCATCTTACGCAAAGGACTCGTAAGATGTCTCTGTAGAAAATTATAGCCATCTAGCATGTTCAAAATATCCCTAATTTATGTGTGATTTAATTGTTAAATATAAAGTGAGCTGTATTATATCTTACCATAAAGGCTGGTATAACAGGCTGCTGGAACTTGGTTCTGAAGGTATGAAGGAGAGTTTTGGTTCTTGAGTTGTAAAAAGACAATGTGCCTGAAAGGGAAGAGGAAAAACAAGAACAAACTAGTTAACGAGTAACTAATTAGTGGTTGACCGATATGCATTTTTTTGATGGCCGATGCCAACATCTTAAAGGGGTCATATGATGTGATTTAAATTTTTCCTTTCTCTTTGAAGTGTTACAAGCTCTTGGTGCATAAAGAAGATCTGTAAAGTTGCAAAGACTAAAGTCTCAAATCCAAAGAGATATTCTTTATAAAAGTTAAGAGTCAGCCACGCCTACCTAAAACGGCTTGTTCTAACA